GAGAAACGTGAGCGCATTCATTTCGTTACATACACACACACATACACACATACACACATACACACATACACACATACACACATACACACACACACACAGTCTCTTGGCGAGACGGCGAACGTAAGAGCCTTATCCCAGGAGTCAGTGGTCGAGTGCAGGGATCTGGACGAGATCACAACAGAAGACGAGTTAAAAAGTGCGCTGAAGGTGCAATGCAACCTGGGAGACGTACCGATGGCAATTCGGTTGAGAAAGGCGTATGGTGGCACGCAGACGGCGTTGATACGACTTTCTTCGGACGCAGCTAACGAGCTGCTGAAGACTGGCCGAATCAAGGTTGGGTGGTCAGTGTGCCCGTTGAAAGCTATTCCTCGGGTATCTAAGAAAATGGAGAGATGCTACAAATGCATGGGCTTCGGTCACCAGGCGAGACACTGCAAAGGCCCTGACAGATCTGATCTGTGCAGGAAATGCGGAGAGAAGGGGCACGTTGCAAAAGACTGTACAAAGCAACCGAGGTGCATGCTCTGCAAAAAGGAGGACGGAAATGGCCATGTGACGGGAAGTTTCAGGTGCCCTGAGTTCAAGAAGGCGATGGTGGGCCAGCAATAATGAAGGTAACCCAAATAAATCTCAATCATTGTAACACAGCACAGCAACTGTTGTGGCAGTCAACAACGGAAACAAAGTGCGACGTTGCAATCATTGCAGAGCCATACCGAGTCCCTCTCGATAATGGTAACTGGGTGGCGGATAGAGCAGGAATGGCGGCCATACAAGTCATGGGCAGGTATCCCATACAACAAGTGGTGGCAAGCTCATATGAAGGTTTCGTGATCGCCAAAATCAATGGAATCTTTGTATGTAGTTGCTACGCACCCCCGAGATGGACAATTGAGCAGTTCCACCAGATGCTAGATGGGCTCACCGAAGAGCTCATTGGACGGAGACAAGTCGTCATCGCAGGAGACTTCAATGCTTGGGCAGTGGATTGGGGGAGCAGATGTACCAACGCAAGAGGGTATAGCCTGCTGGAAGCTCTGGCAAAGTTGAACGTCAGTCTGGCCAACGAAGGAACCATCAGCACCTTCCGCAAAGATGGTAGGGAATCCATTATCGACGTTACTTTCTGCAGTACGTCGCTAATGGCAAATATGAACTGGACAGTGTGCGAGGAGTACACCCATAGTGACCATCAGGCGATCCGGTACAGTATCGGCGAACGAACACCGGTGGAAATGCGGAGGACGAAAGTAAGCGAGCGGAAGTGGAAGACGAAGGCATTCAATAAGGATCTCTTCATCGAAGCTCTAAGGGTAGACAACAGCGTCCCGGGCCTAAGTGCGAATGAGTTGACCGAATTATTAGCAAGGGCATGTGACACAACTATGCCGAGAAAACTGGAGCCAACGAACAGGCGGCGTCCAGCCTACTGGTGGAACGAGGAAATTAGCACCCTCCGTGCTACTTGTCTTCTAGCCAGAAGGCGTGCTCAGAGAGCAAGAACAGAAGCAGACAGAGAGGAGCGCAGGGTGGTGTTCCGAGAGGCCAGGGCTGCACTGAAACGAAAGATAAAGCTGAGCAAGTCAAATAGTTTCAAGGAGTTGTGCCGCGATGCCGATGCCAACCCCTGGGGCAACGCATACCGAGTTGCGATGGCGAAGATCAGAGGCCCAACGATGCCGGTTGAAATGTGTCACAACAAGCTGAAAGTCATCGTGGAGGGACTTTTCCCACAGCATGACCCAACGAACTGGCCACCTACACCATATGGCGAGGTAGATGAAGACAACGTTGAACAAGTCTCCAACGAGGAACTCATAGCAGCAGCGAAAGGGTTGAAAGCGAATAAAGCTCCCGGCCCGGATGGAATTCCCAACGTGGCGTTGAAGGCGGCGATCCAGACGTTCCCGGACATGTTCAGGATGGTGCTGCAGAAATGTCTGGACGATGGTCAGTTCCCTGATAGGTGGAAGGTACAAAAGCTTGTGCTGTTGCAGAAGCCCGGAAAACCGCCGGGGGATCCTGCATCGTATAGGCCAATATGCTTGCTGGATACTGTAGGAAAGCTCTTAGAGAGGATCATCCTCAACAGGCTGACGAAATGCACGGAGAGTGAACACGGATTGTCGGAGAGACAGTTTGGATTCCGGAAAGGGAGATCGACGGTGGATGCAATTCGGACAGTGATTGACAGAGCCGAGAAAGCTTCCAAACAGAAGCGGAGAGGAAATCGATACTGCGCCGTGATTACGATCGATGTCAAGAATGCATTCAATAGCGCCAGCTGGGAGGCCATCGCCAAGGCGCTCCATAGAATGAGGGTTCCAGGCTACCTCTGCAGGATTCTAAGTAGTTATTTCCAGAACCGGGTCCTTGTCTACGTGACAGACACGGGGCAGAAATCACTTAGAATCACGGCGGGGGTTCCCCAAGGCTCCATTCTAGGTCCCACGCTGTGGAACGGAATGTACAATGGCGTGCTGACGCTCAAGCTGCCCAAAGGAGTTGAGATCGTTGGCTTTGCGGACGATGTCGTCTTGACGGTAACCGGTGAGACGCTGGAAGAAGTGGAAATGTTGGCGGCTGAGGCGATAGATACGATTGGTAACTGGATGCAAGGAGCGAAGCTGCAGATAGCCCACCACAAAACAGAAGTGATGTTGGTCAGTAACTGCAAAGCAGTGCAGCGGGCAGAAATTACCGTTGGAGAGCACACCATTGCTTCGAAGCGCATGCTTAAGTATCTGGGAGTGATGATCGACGACCGGCTAAACTTTAATAGCCACATCGAATATGCTTGCGAGAAGGCGACGAAGGTCATCAACGCAATAGCCAGAATCATGCCGAACAATTCTGGTCCAAGCAGCAGCAAGAGACGTCTTCTGGCTAGTGTTTCCTCATCAATACTAAGGTACGGAGGTCCAGCCTGGATTGAAGCGCTGAAAACGAAGCAGAACCAAAGGAAATTGAGCAGTACGTTCCGGCTCATGGCCATGCGAGTCGTGAGTGCGTACAGAACCATTTCGATGGAGGCAGTATGCGTTATCGCCGGTATGATCCCAATCGGCATCACCTTGGCGGAGGACTACGAGTGCTATATGACGAGAGAAACCAGAGGAGTACGAAAAATGGTGAGAACGGAGTCGATGGCTAAGTGGCAGCAGGAGTGGGATGCAGCAGAGAACGGTAGATGGACACACAGGCTAATACCGACTCTTTCGACCTGGGTAAACAGGAAGCATGGAGAAGTCAACTTCCACTTGACGCAGTTCCTGTCTGGTCATGGCTGCTTCAGGAAGTACCTGCATCGGTTCGGACACACAACGTCACCCTTCTGTCCGGAGTGTGGGAATGTGGAAGAATCACCAGAGCACGTGGTCTTCGAATGTCCTAGATTTGATGATGTGCGAGAGGATATGCTCGCCCTTAGCACGGAGAATGTCGTCGAAGAAATGTGTCGAGAGGAGGGCACCTTTAACGCCGTCAGCAGAGCAGTAACGCAGATCATGTCAGCGCTGCAGCGAAAATGGCGGGAAGACCAACTAGAAAGTAGTAATGTGCTCACACAAGTGCGAACTGAAAGCCGAAGCCGGGAGAACTCTCCGTCAGAGTAGGCTGTATCCACCACCAGGGATAACCGAGTAGAACGTGACGCTGGGAGATAAATGGCTCACAAATTGGAGAGACGATCAGCGAACTGGAAGCGCCAATTAGCTGAGGTAAAGTGAGGTGCGTAATGCACGGCCCCCTCCGAAGTAATACGACAAGTGGTTCCGGGGGAAAAGGGCAAGGCGTCTAAGGAGGTTTTAGTGCGGTAAGAATCCCACACACCGTGTCACCGCGACTGTGCGCCCAGTCGTCAAGCGGTGGCACGATGGCCTTTTTGAAGGTTTCCTCCTTGCCAAAAAAAAAAAAAAAAAAAAAAAAAAAAAAACACACACACACAGACATGTTCCGATCTCGTCGAGCTGAGTCGAATGGTATATGACACTCGGCCCTCCGGGCCTCGGATCGATAGTCGGTTTTTCAAGTGACATCTATACCCTTCTTTGTAAGAAGGGTAAAAATGTTTATTCTAGACAATTCAAAGGATATAATCAGCACTGTGTGTTTGTTTAAAATTCTCATTCATTGCAAGCAAACATTTCATACTGAAATAAAATCAAAAACACCAACTTGATGCTACAGCACAAGCTAGAACGTGCTCGAAATTCCTAAAGGCCCATGCTCAAAGTTTTCTCCTTAAACAAATAATTCATCGGTTCGTCAATGATGGACTACCGTAGAAACCAATCGATTGGTCGCTGTTGAAGTGAATATATACATGAGTCAAATAATGGAAACCTCCATTCAATAACCATTAATTCATTGGCAACATAATTTGAGTGATTAACGACGACACCACTGAGCAGTGCGAAGACTAGTGTGACTTCAACTTTTTCCTGGTATTTCCAGTGTTAATTGTATATTCTCAACAGATGCACACGGGGAACTGGCTTGCAGACTTCCTCAGTGTCTTGCACTTATTATATACGTACCTTAAAAAATGTCCGCTCTTCTCTATGCGCATGAAGCGTTAGAAATGGGTTCCTTTCTCATTTTGGATTTGCTTTTCTTTGGTAGATACGTCTACAATGTTGGGTCCTCACATGTAAGTTGCAGCTATGATATAACCGTCGTTGCTTAGTGGTTGTCGCCCAGCTGCCGTGCAGTAAATGCATAGTAAAATAGAAAGCGATATCCAGTTTCCGAGTCTGGTGCCATCTGCTTTCTGATTGATGAGCTGCCGTCAATGATTTATTTCAATCACAACATACGCCAATTTTATTTCAATGCATCAAGAGCTATAAATTCGTCTGATGGTGACATGATTGTCAGACAGGGAAATGGTACATTAATTCTGCCCACGATGTCCGTATTGGTTCATCTTGTCACGTTCTTCTCAGTTGCAAGCGATTGATTAGAATTTTTCGGATGATTATTTTTCAATGAGTTCATATTTTCAATAAACAATATATTCATCTGTTTTCAGAATAAACTTAACAACTTTCTTATTACCTATCAAGTCTTTCAGGAATGAGTTTAAATAAGGTGAAATACTGTAATGTATGAAATGATTCGCCTATTCCGAATGCTTGTGTTCATGGTGATGCTTCACTTCCGGTTCGTGATGAGCCAACGGTTCATGTTGGATCCTCTTGACGACTGCCTTGAACCCGTGCACGGGATCTGCAGTGTACTCTACGATGCGAGTGCTGCCATCGGAATCGAACAGAGTGTAGGCTCCCTTAACGACATCTCCGTCCCGTTCTTCCCAGTGGCTCTTGTGATCTCCGGTATGGGGATCCTTTACTCCGTAGTCGAACTTGTACTTGGCGTGTGCGAAGTAATCGTGGGGAACTTCGATGTGGTCTCCGTGATGTTCAATTTTGTGGTGCTTCTCCAACTCCTGGTGGTGTTCTTCTTGTTGAGGAGCGTGTACTCGGTACGCCGAAACGGCAACCGCCATACAGGCCATGAAGCAAACGAACTGGTGAAAGAAGAAATAGAACATTTACTTGCCAATTAGTAAACCGGTCGCGAGAAAACGAAATTTATGTATTCCACTCACTTTCAGCATGATTGAAGTGGGTGCTTTTTCTTCAAAAACAAAACTATACTACTGTGCACTGGAACGGCTGCTCGGGAGTTGTCCAATGTTTGATGGCTCTCGGTTGAATGATATAATTAAAGCACTTCTACTAGTTTTTATAGCGAAAAAACAATAGATACCGAACCGCCACCGCACTCAGTCAGTGCCGGGAGAAATGGTTCGATTCGATGTGTTTCGTGCCGATTCTGTCTAAACGCCACCGACGCCGACGTCAGTGCATAGCATCAAGACACTCCGTTGAGACCTTACATGCCGTGAGAGTAAGAGAGGCTTCGCCAAGTTGTAAATGTACCGAAGATATTACATAAAACAAAAAAGTAATCGACAGGAAAAATCGCTCAGCACGGATTAACTTGGACTGTCCATTGAACCGGTACGATTGTTGGGGTCTAATGAAGTCACAATAATTTAATTAGCACTCGTTTACAATCAATTTATGTGCTGCTGCAGCGCGGAAAACTGCAGTGATCTGAGTGCGCCGATGAAAGGAGTCCAAAAAAGAGCATGAAAATTGAAAAATTACCGCCGGCGCCGGATGATGTGTGCCGGTTTCGCGCGCTGTGGGAGATTAATTCTGCAGGGCGTATGCACTGTGTAACTGTGCTGCTGGGAAACTGCATATTATTTCGGTTAATCTTCCTACTGTGTAACAGCATGATCTTCAAATTGGGTGGGTGGAGAAATATCTTTCCAAGACTGCAACAAAGTTAGTATACAGCTACGTACACGCCACTGATGCTACGCATTTTGTTCTACATTTCGAATTTTTTTTATAGCATAATTTGTTTAGAATTCCATTAAGCAGTTTAAAACAGCACTTTTGAAACGTTTCCCCAAAAAAAAAAAAATGCATTCTACACACTTAGATTGGCAGCACCCGGCAGGCTCGGCATGTATTTTTACTGAGATCTCAGAAAAATTTATGTTTGTTAGCCGAGATCTCGGCAAAGTTCCCATTTGTTAATTGAATCCCGGCAAATTTTTCATTGAGATCCACGTAAGTGTGTACTACGCTAAATTTATAATTTTGTGGAAATGGTTAAATACGAGGGGGGCGACACATCTAGATCTCAATTATAGATGCTCAACAAATCTCACACTAGCGAATCGATCTTCGAAAAACCTTCTTTCATTTCTCGCATCTACTTGCATCGCACATCACTTTTATTGCAGGTGATCTTCAGAATCGTCATCAATCTTCTTTCTATCTACTCAGCGTGCGTGCAGCTAACCCCAGCAAAACACAATTTTTCCTGCATTGTAGATGGAGTCACCCCCCTCGGTAAAATATGGAATTTTAACTGTTCCTAAAAAACCTATCAGAAAAGTCTGGTGTTGAGATCAGCTGACATATTTTACTTAATTTTGAACGGTGTCGTATCATAAAAATGATTTTATGTGAAAAACTGAATTTTGTTGCCTACATTTAGCCGTATTTTAAACAATTTTCCAAAAACAAATATTGATTTTTTTTTCATTAAACATAACTTAAAAGGTGTCCCACATCGCATTGCATCACGAAAAAAAAACGCTGTAGAAAATTACCTATTTGGTATTTTCTCATGAAAATTTGGGTAGAATTAGTTTAGAGTGTATTGTTTACACAGTATTTTTATCGCTATCAGTTTTTCGAAAGTTGGAAAAAATGGCGTCACCCGAAATTTTTGATTTTGCGCAAGCACCTGGAAAATCCTCAACTCTCTCATCGGAATTGGAAAACAACTCGGAATCGTGCAGTCAACGGTGAGTCCTGTGATTAAACGTTAAAACGAAACTCTGAGCATCGAACGGAAGGAGAAATGTGGTCAGAATGGATGTTCTATTAGTGATCAGGATCACAAGCGTGTCGTGAAAGCGTTAAAGCGGAATCCCAATGCTTCGGTCAGAGAGGTGGCCAAAAAGTTGAATCTGTCCAAGTATTTCGTTCAGAGAGCCAAGGACCGAGAAGGACTGCATCGTACAAAGTGCAGAAGGCTGTACGGAAACTGTACATCCAGATGCTGACGAAGTCTCATTGTCTCATCATGGATGATGAGACTTACGTCAAGGTGGACTTCCGGCAGCTTCCGGGGCTACTGTTCTTCACCGCCCAGCACAATTTTGATGTTCCGGATGAAGTAAGTAAGTAGAAACTTTCAACGTTTGTCAAAAAATACATGATTTGGTAAGCAATCTGCTCATGTGGTAAACGGAGTGCGCCGTTCGTGACTACCGGAACTGTAAACGGAGAGATCTACCTGAAGGAGTGTCTACAGAAACGTCTGCTTCCTCTGTTGAAGCAACAGAAGGGCCCTACGATCTTTTGGCCGAATCTAGCTTCGTGCCACTATTCAAATGTTGTCCTGGAATGGTACGAACCCAACGGAGTCACTTTCGTACCCAAAAATACTGGGCTATTATGAAGCAGGCACTACGAAAGCTTCCCAAGGAGATCAAATCTGAGGAAGACATGTACGGGTTTCCGTACAGAAAAAGCTGCAGCTAATGAGTGAAGTGCGAGCATACGGTTATGGTATTGAATTCGAATAAAATATATATTTGCCAAAAGCTTACTAATGAGTTATATTTTATTGTCTGAAAGTTTGAATAGGATCGGTTTTATAGGTAATTTTCTACGGCGTTTTTTCTGTGATGCAATTTGATGTGGGACACACTTTATATTGCAATTTTAATATCAGATTCTTCTTCAGCGATGACAAATCAAGTATAAATGCTTACTTCTGAATACTGCATAGTATAAAAGTCTGCACAATTAACTTCGCTCCGGAGCTAAACATTTGCATTTTAATTTAATTCTTATTAAAAAAATCACCTTGGCATGCAATAGAAAAACTAGATTCAAACATTACAAATGGATTTGCTATACACTTAGACAAAATAATGTAAATTAGATGCTCTGAGACTGACATATACGAGCGTCAATTTTGACATAAAATTGAGTCATAATTGACGCAAAATTCAGCTTAATCATACGTATTTTCGAACTTTTCAGTCTCGGAGCATTTAATTTTACATGACATGTTTGTTTACATCTCATCCTTTATGTCAAAGATGGATTCCGTCACGTGTAAGAATAGGTATTTCTAAGTGCGTAGTACATGCTTGAAATGTATTTTTTTCTGTGCTAAACATATGATAGGGACATATTTAGATTTATCGGTAAAAATTGATCAACTTCTCCCCGTTTTACGGTACTCAATAACAGTTCTCTAATAATATTTGATAAATTTATGTTTTTTACGAAAATGAGAGAAATGTGGCTTCCAATTTGCTCCAAAATGCGTGATATATAACTACTAAAGGGTTTATTCGATAAAAGTGGCGCACCGAAAATCTTCAGTTACTTTTGAACCGTATGAGTAAAAACCTAAAAATTTTAGTAAATCTTATTCATAGTGCATTGTTTACTTATGTCAAGTTTCATAGCTATTCATGTCATGTCGTCGAAACAAGAAATTGTCCGTGATGGGTCTGGGTTCAATCCCAGCCGAGGTCGGTGGGATTTTTCTGAGGCATAAAAATCTCTGGTCACGTCTTCCTTCGGAAGGGAAGTAAAGCCGTTGGTCCCGGCCCATGTGTGTTTGAATGGGTGCGATATCCTACGCAGGTGTGGAAGCTGCCTTCCTGCATATTCGATTGCTGTCAATGGATGGCAATTGATGTCCGTCGGTGATTGGCACTAGATTGCGGAACAGAGACCGACGTTAAATAAAGGAAAGAAGAAAGAAATTGTCCGTGACAAAATTTTGTGCACTTACAATCAAAATCCAGATGCGTCCCACCGATAGATCGCTAAAAAGCATGGAATTGCAAATAAAACTGTGTCTCGTGTGATAAGAACCTTCAAGGAGCGTCTAAGTGCCCGAAGGAAGGAAGGAAAAAAGTGGTCGTAAACTGCCCCAATGGATAATAAAATGGCCAGGAAGGTGGTGCAACAGTTCAAGAACCGTCCAAACATGTCAATTCGAGATGTCGCTAAAAAGTCCAAAGTGTCAGTCGGTTTTGTGCAGAAAACCATGAAGCGTGCTGGGTTACATGTTTACAAGGTGCAAAAAGCCCCAAACCGGAATGAAAAGCAAAACATCACCGCGAAAGCCCGCGCCCGGAAACTTTACACGAAGTTGCTCACCAAATCGTGTTGCATCGTGATGGATGACGAAACTTACGTCAAGACCGACTTTCGTCCAAGAATATTTCGTTGCCAAGTCTATGTTCGATGTTCCGGAGGATGTTCAAAAGAAGAAATTATAGAATTTTGCAAAATAGTTCCTGATCTGGCAGCAGGCTTCCGGAAATCTCACGCGTACACAAATGCGACAGCGAGCTGTGAGACGGAGCGTCGCATGACTCTCAAATCCATGGTGTGCTACATTAGTTGTACAAAAGAGACACAGTTAAAATTATTTTGTAATTTTACACGAATTTCCATGCACATAAAAGAGCATGCATATTCATGTAAAAATAAATTGGTTTTTAAATTTACACGACTTGAAATTTACATGCATGTAAAATTAAACGTCACTTGAATTTTACATGGATGGCTTTAGATGGATTCACTTTGTAATTCCACAGGACATTTAGAATTACACTGAAGTTTTTGGTGTAAATACAGAAATTTTTAAAATATGTCTATATGGACCATAGCATGCTATAGTTACAAATGGCATCAAAATCCGATTTATAAAATTTTTTTAAGCTTCACACTTAGAAATAACTAATTTTACACGAGACGTAATCTATGTTGGACGTAAATCATGGAACGTAAACAAACATTCCATGTAAAATTTAGTTTTCTCAAACCGAAACATAAGCAAGTTGACGAAGAGAACGTTTTATTGAATTGATTTTCTCGCTTCTTTCAACTGATTCTCATGTCAAAAGGGCCGCTTACATGTGTCGGTCTCATGACACCGAAATTTACATGACATTTTCGTGGTGTGTTGTGAAAAATCAAAATCTCGGTAGTTTTTTTTACGCGGTTAAATTAAAACATAGTTTAAAGCGATGTAATTTTAAAATGGTTTTGGTTTGCATGTCATGTAATATTCCTTAT